TAGACAGCATGGATGTTTAAATTTATGCATCTATTTGTAATTAAAGGTAAACAGTAGAAACGTTTAGTTTGTCTTTATTTATAAAATCTGGATGTGGAGCTCGTTCCTGCTGGAACAGAGCAGATGGACCCTTAGTTTCTGGCGCCTGTCGCTTTCGCCCCCCCCACCCTCAGTTTACAGTGGTTTTTGACTGGCCACCCCTGTTAAAGTTTTCTGGCTACGCCCCTGCTGCCATTAAAGAAGAAGAAGCAGCACGGGTTTCCTACAGCGGCTCCAGCACCTGAACGCATCACCCAGGCCTTGTGATGACGGGGAGCAGCGGTTCTGGTTCTGTAGTGATGCTGAGATGGAGCCTCATTGAACGTTTGGCCAAATAGCTTCAATAATCCTCACAGTTCATGAAGCTTCAGGTGAACATGTCGCCACCTGCTGGTGGACTGCAGAACTACAGTTAGTAATAGAATATGGGATTTCTTTTGTAAGTTGTTTTTTTAATGTAAAATTTCTTAAAACAATCATTCAGTTTTTCATCCATTTTAGTGAAATAAAGTCAAGCAGGCAGTGAAAGTGTGAAAACTGGGTAATGATGAGCAAAATGAAAGCTGTTAGTCATTTTATTCAAACATTATAGTTTTTCCACAGTTTTTGGTTTTAATCGGGTTGGAAGTTATGTTCAACCGATCTTTGGCTAAACTGACCTAATTCTGCAGCGTTTTTATCCAATCTATATTTTAACTAGAGCAAACCAATGAAAATTAGTTTATTAGCAAAAATAATTAAATATAATAGCAACTTTAAAAGTTAAAGGCAGGTCTTCAACCATCAACCTTTAGAGGGGGAGCCTGTTTCTCTCAGATGACGCCACTAATGTTGTCATCTGATGAGTGGAGGAAATACTACTTCATTTGATCATTACATTGTTTGATCTAACAAAATAGTTTTTAGCTACTAGATTGGTCGTTTAGATGCCTGTCTAAATTAATGCGCTTTCTGAACCACTTCCTGAAGCGGTCACATGGTAGCGAGGCCTCGGACGTCATCAATTTTGGTCCCTCCCCTAAATGAATCACGCCTCGACACGCGCTTCGTTACTCGACACACGCCTCGGCTCATCTCATGACGTCACTCCGTTTGTGACCAGAGGGGGGCAGCAGGCTGCCATTAAACACGAAGATCTTTTTTTAACAAAACATTTATTTAAAAATGATTTAACAACAGTCAGTTAAAAAAAATAAAATAAAATAAAATAGGTTGACAATACCTTATTATAATCACAGCTTGTTATATTTTAGTTCGCCATCATTGGAAATGGTGCACAAAACACTATTAAACCCCCACAGTTGTAAAAAAACAAAAGAAAAAAAAAAACTTTAAATCCCAAGAAGAAGAAGAAGAAGAAGAAGGCGAAAGCGGCGGCGGCTGCCCCATCAGAAGCTCCTCCCCCCACCGTGGCTACAGCAACAGAGACGAGTCACAGCGGTGGCGGATGGTCGTTTGGTGCATGGCGCGTGTTTTGAAGCTGCTCTGCTTGTGGAGAAATGTCCTGGGCCGTGAGCAGTGAGGAAACAGGAAGCGATTCTTGTGGGATGGAAGAGGGAAATAGTGACAATGAAGGTTGGAAGATAGCAACATCAAAAAATGAGAAAAAGCGGAAAAAGCAGAGATCAGTTAAAGGAGAGTCCAGTTCAGAACAATCAGTGATGATCAATCCATACATTCCACAGCAAAACAAAATGAATTCAAAGTCGTTAATCAGGCAGAATCACTGAACAAAAACCATCAATAAACTTGTCGGAGAAGTCAGAGGTGCCAGAATCCTGTAGAGTGGAGACCTGCTAATTAACTGCAGAGACAGCACCCAGCAAGGCAAAGCAAGACGAATCAACAAGATGGAGGGATAAGAGTTCAATGCAGCTTAATGGAGAACAAAAAGATCAGCAGGGGAGTCATTGGAGGAGTTCCTCTAAGAGTTTCTGAAAAAGAGATTCTAGAAAACATAAGCGGTGCAAAAGTAAAAGAAGTAAAACGGTTAAAAACAACAAGAAACGGAGAAAGATCTGACAGTTTATCGGTGTTAATTAAATTAGAGGAAGAGCAATTACCAAGCAAAGTATTCATCGGTTACATCAGCTATAATGTTAATAATCCTCCACCTTTGAGATGCTTTAAATGCCAGAAATTCGGTCGAGTAGCAGCAGTTTGTAAAGGAAAGCAGAGGCATGGAAGGACTGCAGGAGAGCATGAGTACGGAAAAGAAGCTCAATGGAGAACAGCAGTATGGAGAACATCCTGCTGCTTATCACAGCTGTGAAGCAGCAAAAGGTCTGAGGAAATAAAAATGAAATTTGAGCTCAGAATAACCTACGCTGAAGCTGCAAAAAGGATCCCATCTCAGTCAGGGAAAACCAAACCTACAGTTCAACACACGGCAGATTCCAAACCTCTGGAGAAATCTGGAAGTTAAAGATTTAAACTGGGAGATGGTTGGAAGCATAATGGGAGAGTAGGCGAACGTTGGCTCGACCCGATCGACGAGGATGAGCACCTCGCCGGAAGACGACGACACTGATCTGAGGCATAAGCCAGTTTGTGACTGGATCAGGATGGCGGCTCAAGTTGTAGAGGATGAGGAAGAGCTAGAAAGTGATTCGGATATGGATGGTTGGATGCCAGTTGGTAGTTACCGGAGAAATGGAAAATCCAAAAGTAGTGAAGCGGGCAGAACTTGTGAGAATTCAGGAAACAAAAGAAACCTTGAAGACGAAAGCACAGATGATGGAAGCAAGGGTGTACGTAAAAAAATCATGAAAGAAGAGGTGAAGATAATATTAAAATTCAGAAAGGAAGATGAAAATATTATTCTGAGCCAAGTAACAGTCTCTAAGGAGCTAAAAAAGAAAGTGGGGGAAGTTGAAATGGCTAAAACTCTGAGAGATGGAAACTTGCTAATCGTCTGTAAATCAGAAGAGCATAAAAGGAAAGCAATGAGTGTTGAAAGCATTGGAAAGGAAAGAGTGGAGAGTAAAAGAGTGTTGGGTGAAAAGAAAGATTCCCGAGGATTTATTTACGGAATTAATGAAGATCTGGAGAGATTAAAGCATAACATCCATAATGTTGAAGTCAGTGATATAAAGAGATTGCAGAAAACAGTGAACAATGAGAGAGTTGACAGCTTATCTGTGCTTCTGGAATTTTCTACTCCAGAAGTTCCAGAGAGAGTTAAAGTGGGTTTCATGTGCTATCCAGTCAGGCCTTATGTTCCTCCTCCACTTCGGTGTTACAAGTGTCAGAGATATGGTCACATTGCTGCAGTGTGCAGGGGCAAACAGAGATGTTTTAAATGTGGAGGGGAGCACAAAATACAAGAATGTGGTGAAAATACTCAGGTTAAATGCTGTAATTGTGGTGGAGAGCACAGGGCGACATATGGAGGGTGTGAAGTTAGGAAGAAAGCAGTTGAGGTTCAAAAAGTGAAATCAACAAACAATCTAAGTTATGCTGAGGCGTTAAAGAAGGTTCAGGAAAAGGAAACTGTGAGTAACATTCAAGAACTAAGGCAAGAAGCAGAGCAGCATGCCAGGGTTTATAACCCTGTTGACTTTGACAAACTGGTTTTGTTTGTGGCTTTTGTTATTAACTGCACGGACCAGGTTAAACAGAAAAATGAGAAAATCTAAATCATTGTTAAAGGAGCTGAAAAATTCTTAGGGATGAGGAATATTTCGTTGGATCAAGTTATACAAAAACTTGAGGCAGATGGCAATAAACCAAAGTAAGAGTGATATAAGAATCGATATGAGTAAAATAGAAGTTAAAAGTTTTATTAAAAGAAGGAAAAGTATTTATGATTCAAGTTATAGAATTATGTTTCGTTATTTATTGGCTACAGGTTTAGCAAAAAAAATTTAGGTTTTTTTTTGAGCATGTCTGTCTTGATCCACAGTCCTTACTGGTTGGTGGCGGTAATGCACCATTTAGTTGTTTGCCAACCGCCATTAAAAACAAGAAGAAGAAGAAGCATGATGGGAGGACCGACCATCAGAAACTGGCAGAGTGACGATGAAGAAATTAAGATTATAAGGCCACATGTGATTTAGTATTTATTATGTTGGGTTCAGTTACAGTTTGTTTGTTTCTGGGGTGAATCGTTTCCTGTTTCCTTGCTTTACTCCATACCAGTTGGTGGCGCTAATGCACATCTCACATGTTTGCCAAACGCCATAAAACCTCAGAAGAAGAAGAAGAAGCAGCTTCGGGGAAATGATGGGAATTATTTTGGCTTTGAGTTGGATTGAAGATGTTCGTCCTTTAAGAAGTTTAATTTGCTCTGATTCAAGCTCATCGTTATATTCAATTAAAAATAATCATTCCAATAGTAGACCAGACCTTCTATTGGAGATTCAGTTAATACTTTATAGAATTCAGACCATGGGATTAATTGTCATTTTTACATGGGTTCCATCTCATATAGGAGTAATAGGAAATGAATTGGCAGACAGATATGCAAAACAAGCTTCAAAAAACAGTTACATTGAGATACTGATTCCATTTAGTAAAGAGGAGATAAAATCTGTTATAAAACAAAAGGTTAAGGAAAGATGAGGAGGAAAGGACTGGTAGATGGCTTTATAGCATTCAAAGGAAAGTTATGAGGGGAACAGGAAGAAGGAGAAAAGAAGATAATATCATATCCAGGTTACATTTTGGTCATACAGGCTTAAACAGAACATTATTTATAATGGGAAGACATCCATCAGGAAATTGTTGTTTTCAAGAAGAGACAGTAGAACATGTTTTGTTGTTTTGTCCAAAGAGAGAAGGAAATTAGAATATCGACTTCTAAAGAATAAGTTACAGTTAAAAATATCAGATATGTTGGGATATTGCTCCTCTTCTGAATATTTACGTCATTTATTAAGCTTTCTTAAGGAAACTAAACTGATAGTTGCGTCCTGATCCACACTCCTTACCAGTAGGTGGCGGTAATGCGCACCAATAAGTTGCTTGTCAACCGCCATTAAACCCAGAAACAACAGCAGCCATGGCCGAACTGAACCGGCAGCTCCAGGAGTATCTCTCCCAGTCCAAGAGCGGCGGAACCAAGTCCAGCTCCAGCACCTTGGTGGAGGTGGGAGAACCGGAGGCGGTACCGGGCAGCTGGTTCGGTCGGTGGTCCAGTCCGTGGTCCGGTCAGAGCTCCGCGGGAAGCAGCGGCTCCTCCTGGCCCTGGTCCTCCGAACCGGACCCGTGCCTCCCCGGGGTGAGCCGGCAGCAGCGGCTGCTGGGCTTCGGCGTCTGCCTGGGCCTGTCGGTGCTCTGCTTCGGACTCTCGGCTCTCTACGCCCCGCTGCTGCTCCTCTACGCCCGGAAGTTCGCCCTGCTCTGGACGCTGGGCTCCCTGTTCGCCGTGGCGGCGGTGTCGGTTCTGCGGGGCCCCAGTAAGCTGCTGTCCGGCCTGCACCGGTCCCCCGGAGCCGCCGCCTACCTGTGCGCCCTAGCTGGGACTCTGTACGCGGCGCTGGGCCTCCACAGCACGGTGCTGACCGCGCTGGGAGCCGGCCTGCAGGGGGCGCTGCTCCTGGGGGGCCTGCTGGCCCTGCTGCCCGGGGGCAGCGCCGGGATCCGGTATCTGAGCGGCTGGACGCTCTCCCTCCTCAAGAGGACCGTCAGCGGCAGAACCATGGCGATCTGAGCGGAACCGACCCAGACTAAACCCTCAGCGCTGACTGCCAGGACCACAGACCTAAAGCTGATGGAGGGGAATAAACCCTCAGCGCTGACTGCCAGGTCCATAGACCTAAAACTGATGGAGGGGAAATAAACCCTCAGCGCTGACTGCCAGGTCCATAGACCTAAAACTGATGGAGGGGAAATAAACCCTCAGCGCTGACTGCCAGGACCACAGATCTAAAACTGATGGAGGGGGAATTAAACCCTCAGCGCTGACTGCCAGGACCACAGACCTAAAACTGATGGAGGGGGAATAAACCCTCAGCGCTGACTGGCAGGACCAAAAACCTAAAACTGATGGAGAGGGATTTAAACCCTCAGCGCTGACTGGCAGGACCACAGATCTAAAGCTGATGGAGGGGGAATAAACCCTCAGTGCTGACTGCCAGGTCCATAGACCTAAAACTGATGGAGGGGGGGTTTTACCTCAGCACTGACTGCCAGGACCAAAGACTTACCACTGATGGAGCCAATCAGCTTGGGGGGGGGGTGTCTGTTTATACCTTTGCTATTAAAACAGCTTCTACCAGTAAACTGGGTTTTCTCTGGTCCTTTGTTTAAATCAGTCTTAGTTCTGGTTCCCTACTTCAATGTGACCCTGTTTAAAAATGCAAACCCGGGCAGGCTGGGTTCTGGTTTCACCGCCCGGACTTGTCAGAACTGGGAACCCTGGTTCCTCTGAGGCAGCTCTCTAAAGGTTCTGGGCTCTCCAAAGTGGGACCTCTGGCCTGTAAACAAGCTTTGTTCTTCTGAGCTTGTTTCCTGGTCCGCTGGAGGAAAAGGAAACAGATGATGTCATCGCTAAAATGAACAGAACCGCCTAACAGACCGGGTCACAGAACCAAACCAGCAGGTTCTGCTGGATGAAGCCGACAGAATAACCATCTCCGCCTCATAGACCATCTATGGGAGGGACTGGTTGAGGTTTAACATCCGCCTTCACAGCAGGGGCCCCAGGGACTGCGCAGTGGCCCCTGAGGTTAATCTGGTTTACAGGTGCTGGTCATAAAATTAGAATATCATGAAAAAGTAGATTGATTTCAGTAATTCCATTTAAAAAGTGAAACTTGTATATTATATTCATACATTACATACAAACTCATATATTTCAGATGTTTATTTTGTTTAATTTTGATGATTACAAATGACAACAAATGAAAATCTCAAATTCATCATATCAGAAAATTAGAATATTACTGAAGACCAATAAAAACAAAGGATTTATAGAAATGTTGGCCAACTGAAAAGTATGAACATGAAAAGTATGAGCATGTACAGCACTCAGTATTTAGTTGGGCCTCCTTTGGCCTGTATTACTGCAGCAATGCGGCGTGGCATGGAGTCGATCAGTCTGTGGCACTGCTCAGGTGTTATGATAGCCCAGGTTGCTCTAATAGTGGCTTTTAGCTCTTCTGAATTGTTGGGTCTGGTGTATTGCATCTTCTTCTTCACAATACCCCATAGATTTTCTATGGGGTTAAGGTCAGGAGAGTTTGCTGGCCAATTAAGAACAGGGATACCATGGTCCTTCAACCAGGTACTGGTAGCTTTGGCACTGTGTGCAGGTGCCAAGTCCTGTTGGAAAATGAAATCTGCATCTCCAAAAAGTTGGTCAGCTGCAGGAAGCATGAAGTGCTCTAAAACTTCCTGGTATGTGGCTGCGTTGACCCTGGACCTCAGAAAACACAATGGACCAACACCAGCAGATGACATGGCACCCCAAACCATCACTGACTGTGGAAACTTTACACTGGACTTCAAGCAACGTGGATGAAGTGCCTCTCTTCTTTTCCTCCAGACTCTGGGACCTTGATTTCCAAAGGAAATGCAAAATTTACTTTCATCAGAGAACATGACTTTGGACCACTCACCAGCAGTCCAGTCCTGTTTCTCTTTAGCCCAGGCAAGACGCTTCTGACGCTGTCTGTGGTTCAAGAGTGGCTTGACACAAGGAATGCGACAGCAGAAACCCATGTCTTTCATACGTCTGTGTGTGGTGGTTCTTGAAGCACTCACTCCAGCTGCAGTCCACTCTTTGTGAATCTCCCCCACATTTTTGAATGGGTTTTGTTTCACAATCCTCTCCAGGGTGCGGTTATCTCTCTTGCTTGTACACTTTTTTCGACCACATCTTTTCCTTCCCTTCGCCTCTCTATTAATGTGCTTGGACACTGAGCTCTGTGAACAGCCAGCCTCTTTAGCGATGACCTTTTGTGTCTTGCCCTCCTTGTGCAAGGTGTCGATGGTCGTCTTTTGGACAACTGTCAAGTCAGCAGTCTTCCCCATGATTGTGTAGCCTATAGAACTAGACTGAAAGACCATTTAAAGGCTTTTGCAGGTGGTTTGAGTTAATTAGCTGATTAGAGTGTGGCACCAGGGGCCATCAATTTTGAACCTTTTCACAATATTCTAATTTTCTGATATGATGAATTTGAGATTTTCATTTGTTGTCATTTGTAATCATCAAAATTAAACAAAATAAACATCTGAAATATATGAGTTTGTATGTAATGTATGAATATAATATACAAGTTTCACTTTTTAAATGGAATTACTGAAATCAATCTACCTTTTCATGATATTCTAATTTTATGACCAGCACCTGTAAATACTCCAGTAAATAAGTCATGTTAGAGATGATGCGTTCACTGTCTATCAGTACTGGGCCTTCTGTTAATTCTGTGGATCAGGTGTTTGCTTCAAAGTTAGCTAATCTGACCTTCCTGTGGAGAAGACGAAGGGTTGTTTCCTGGGGCCCTCAGGGGCCGCTAATGCCTCAGAGTTCAACATTGCAGTGAAACATTCTGATCCAGTTCCTGGACCAGTGATTGGCTCCTAACGGGAGAGATGAGAATGTTGGCGCCACGGGGCCCTCCCATGATGGCCCCCAGAAACCTGAACGCTGTGGATGTTTATCTGCTCTGTAGCTTCCAGCTAGAGAGAAGCTTGACTTTAATTACCTTATGAGCTGGAAAATAGTTTGAACAGGTTTCTAAGTCAGAAAGTCCACCTCCAAACATCCCGTTCATCAGGATTATAATCCCACTAAAGTATATTAATGTCCTCATCTTTTAGAAATGGTTTTTTCTTATTAGCACGTCTCGTTTTACAGCAGTTAAACTGTGAAACATAATCCATCATAATCCCACCAATGAAAGGTAATCCCACTGGACCTGCTGCAGTCTCCCTGTATCAATGCTCCCATAGGCAGAATAAAATCTGCCATCCTGATGGTGCGTTCAGAGTGAGCGCGGTGATTTCCTCCAGCTCTGCATTTAGCGTTTACACCCTAAACGCATCATCAAGGAGGAGGAGCTTCAGCTGCATGGAGCAGACCCCCCCCCCCCCAGTGATGTGGAAAACACTCAGCAGGTAGACTCAGTGGTTAGAGCTTCTATAGAGCATTAGAATGGTCATTAGTGAAAAGATCAGATGTGCTGCTGAGATATTAGAGGTTAGATTCAAGGTCATCCAGAGGTCATTATCACCCATTAAAATCCTACTTTTCAGAGCTGCTTTGTTTCTGTTTAGTTTTATAGAGAGAATAATTAATAATTAGGGCTGATGACATCACATCCCAGCAGATGTTCCCTGATATGAAGTTATTGCATCACAGTCATTCCTGAATATAACAGCCGGCGTGTTTTACCTTAGTTGTTTGATCTCTGCTTTCCACCTGCCGTTACCTCTGGCAACCCCAGGTCATTTCCTGTCAGCATTTCACAATAAAAGTCCAGGTGAACCTTAACATCCCAGCCTGCTGCTGAGTGTTTCTCTATGATGAATAACTCTAGAATCAAACATCTATTTCTGGAGGAAAACAAAGATCCGCTCTGGTTCCTCCAGAAGCAGCTGGATTCAGCAGCTCTTCCTGGTGAATCTGCCCCCTCAGAGAGCCCTGATGCTGGGCAGCGGGCGGCGGCAGAGCGGGCTCTGAGCTGGAGGTGAGGGAGGATCAGCCTCTGCAGAGCATTCATTATTTCTACCTTTGACTTTTTCTCTTTCCCTGATTGGCCGCCGAGTCACGAGTCCACAGAGCAGCAGCGTGAGACTCGTCGGCTCCATCTAGTGGCACCAGATGCAGGGGGTCAATCAGGGGGTCCCCTGTAACGGCTGAGACTGACCAGACCCCGCCCCCTCAGACTTTACACGTTAATCTGGTTTGATGTGATGGGACCTTAATGCTGCGGCGGCATCAGAACGCCGCTCTGATCTGTGGCTCCGCCCACATCCGGACCTGTGACAGAAGCTGCAGCCTGGTTGGAGTGCGTTTTATTGGACTGATTGAATACAGGGATGCTGGTGGTAGATGGCAGTCAGTGGATCAGATCAGTCAGCATTGATGGTCCACAGGGGGCGCTGCGGCGCCCGCACTTCAACTGTCAATCTTTATTGTCCAACTTGGTGAAAACACAAACACATAGAAATCTTTTAGAAAACGCAGCAAAACAGTCTCTACAGTATGATACAGCTGCCGGGCCGGACCGGACCAAACCGGGCCGGACCGGACCGGGTCGAACCGGGCCACCCAGGCACCAGGACCACAGCCCAGAGATTCATGTGGTGTGAAGGCGCTGAGAGAGGCCCGCCACTACCGGCCACGCCCCCCGCCCCTCGGCCCTCCTCTGGGAGGCGGTCCTCCTCGCCGTAGACCCGGCCCTCCACCGGGGCCCCAGCCGCCCCGCCCGCCTCGTCCAGGGGGACCGTAGCCGCCGCCGTCGTCCCGCTGAGGACGACCTGCAGAGACAGAGGGAAGGATTAAAAAAAAAGAAACCAGGACGAGTTGTGATGAAGCGGCGTGGAGTTTGGAGCAAACATGGCTGACCTCCATCAGGGGGGTCATGGTCTCCTGTTCCTGGACCGTCCTGCCAGGGACGCTTCCTTGGAGGCAGAGACGCCATGTCCATCCCCTGCATGGAAGAGGGACGATCCCGGCCACCAGGAGACGAGCCGTCGTCCCGATACCCGTCGTGACCTGGAGACACCATGAGACAGCAGCGCTTGGAAAAGTTCTCACCCCTCAGACACCCAGCGTTCAGTTCAACAGGTGGAACACTCTGTTAGCATCAGAGAATCGTTTCTCAGGAACGCCAGAACCGACTCGTCTTCTCTCCATTCAAGTCCATTCCAGTCTGGAGCTGCATTTCACTTCCTGTTACTAACAGTCTCTAGATAATAATAGTTTTTCATTTAGTGGGGGAATAATAACAGCCTTTCACAGCGATTTAGTCCCAGAATCTACTAAACTAGACGCTGAACTCTCTGTGGATTATTTCTATTCTGGGCGCAAACATAGAGGATTCAGAACGAGTCCAGAGCTTCTGTCCAACGACAGCCTAACTTCTGCATGAAGCACGGCAGCGTAATGCCCAGGAAATGATGCACGGCCTCCTAATGGGGGCAGCGATGCGCCTGGAGGCGCCCGGTCTGCAGAAAAAGATTTATTTGATCACGGTATTAACCAAGCTGCTGTTTACCGCCCGCCTTAAAAAGAAAATCCAATAAAAATCAAAATAAAGAAAGCAGGTTTCTGGTGTCAGCAGATTGAGCGTCATGTCTGCTAGGAAGTGTGTTGGTGGTGGGCGTGAACGCAGGGAGGATCCATCACTCACCTTCTGGCTCCCCCTATGATGGTGATGAAGTCTGGAGGAGAACTGACGGTTTCCTCCTGTGAACCCCCTTTATACCAAAACGCTGCCAATACGCCATTATACAGTAGCTGGAAGCCCTGGCCGCCGCAGGCGCTGACATTAGCCCTGCCTGCTGCTGTAGGCGCAGCTCAGACTGCCGTAAAGCGCAGCTAGGTGCAGTAAAGCGGAGCTCAGACTGCCGTAAAGCACAGCTAGGTGCAGTAAAGCGGAGCTCAGACTGCCGTAAAGCAGACCTAGGTGCAGTAAAGCGGAGCTCAGACTGCCGTAAAGCAGACCTAGGTGCAGTAAAGCGGAGCTCAGACTGCCGTAAAGCAGACCTAGGTGCAGTAAAGCGGAGCTCAGACTGCCGTAAAGCAGACCTAGGTGCAGTAAAGCGGAGCTCAGACTGCTGTAAAGCAGAGCTAGGTGCAGTAAAGCGCAGCTCAGACTGCCGTAAAGCAGACCTAGGGGCAGTAAAGCGGAGCTCAGACTGCCGTAAAGCAGACCTAGGTGCAGTAAAGCGGAGCTCAGACTGCTGTAAAGCAGAGCTAAGTGCAGTAAAGCGGAGCTCAGACTGCCGTAAAGCAGACCTAGGTGCAGTAAAGCGGAGCTCAGACTGCTGTAAAGCAGAGCTAAGTGCAGTAAAGCGGAGCTCAGACTGCCGTAAAGCACAGCTAGGTGCAGTAAAGTGGAGCTCAGACTGCCGTAAAGCAGACCTAGGTGCAGTAAAGCGGAGCTCAGACTGCCGTAAAGCAGACCTAGGTGCAGTAAAGCGGAGCTCAGACTGCCGTAAAGCAGACCTAGGTGCAGTAAAGCGGAGCTCAGACTGCTGTAAAGCAGAGCTAAGTGCAGTAAAGCGGAGCTCAGACTGCCGTAAAGCACAGCTAGGTGCAGTAAAGCGGAGCTCAGACTGCCGTAAAGCAGACCTAGGTGCAGTAAAGCGGAGCTCAGACTGCCGTAAAGCAGACCTAGGTGCAGTAAAGCGGAGCTCAGACTGCCGTAAAGCAGACCTAGGTGCAGTAAAGCGGAGCTCAGACTGCCGTAAAGCAGAGCTAGGTGCAGTAAAGCGCAGCTCAGACTGCCGTAAAGCAGACCTAGGGGCAGTAAAGCGGAGCTCAGACTGCCGTAAAGCAGACCTAGGTGCAGTAAAGCGGAGCTCAGACTGCTGTAAAGCAGAGCTAAGTGCAGTAAAGCGGAGCTCAGACTGCCGTAAAGCACAGCTAGGTGCAGTAAAGTGGAGCTCAGACTGCCGTAAAGCAGACCTAGGTGCAGTAAAGCGGAGCTCAGACTGCCGTAAAGCAGACCTAGGTGCAGTAAAGCGGAGCTCAGACTGCCGTAAAGCAGACCTAGGTGCAGTAAAGCGGAGCTCAGACTGCTGTAAAGCAGAGCTAAGTGCAGTAAAGCGGAGCTCAGACTGCCGTAAAGCACAGCTAGGTGCAGTAAAGCGGAGCTCAGACTGCCGTAAAGCAGACCTAGGTGCAGTAAAGCGGAGCTCAGACTGCTGTAAAGCAGAGCTAAGTGCAGTAAAGTGGAGGTCAGACTGCCGTAAAGCACAGCTAGGTGCAGTAAAGCGGAGCTCAGACTGCCGTAAAGCAGACCTAGGTGCAGTAAAGCGGAGCTCAGACTGCCGTAAAGCAGAGCTAGGTGCAGTAAAGTGGAGCTCAGACTGCCGTAAAGCAGAGCTAAGTGCAGTAAAGCGGAGCTCAGACTGCCGTAAAGCAAAGCTAGGTACAGTAAAGCGGAGCTCAGACTGCCGTAAAGCAGAGCTAGGTGCAGTAAAGCGGAGCTCAGACTGCCGTAAAGCAGAGCTAGGTACAGTAAAGTGGAGCTCAGACTGCCGTAAAGCAGAGCTAGGTGCAGTAAAGTGGAGCTCAGACTGCCGTAAAGCAGAGCTCAGACTGCCGTAAAGCAAAGCTAGGTACAGTAAAGCGGAGCTCAGACTGCCGTAAAGTAGAGCTAGGTGCAGTAAAGCGGAGCTCAGACTGCCGTAAAGTAAAGCTAGGTGCAGTAAAGCGGAGCTCAGACTGCCGTAAAGCAGAGCTAGGTGGAGTAAAGCGGAGCTCAGACTGCCGTAAAGCAGAGCTAGGTACAGTAAAGTGGAGCTCAGACTGCCGTAAAGCAGAGCTAGGTGCAGTAAAGTGGAGCTCAGACTGCCGTAAAGCAGAGCTAAGTGCAGTAAAGCGGAGCTCAGACTGCCGTAAAGCAAAGCTAGGTGCAGTAAAGCGGAGCTCAGACTGCCGTAAAGCAGAGCTAGGTACAGTAAAGCGGAGCTCAGACTGCCGTAAAGCAGACCTAGGTGCAGTAAAGCGGAGCTCAGACTGCCGTAAAGCAGAGCTAGGTGCAGTAAAGTGGAGCTCAGACTGCCGTAAAGCAGAGCTAAGTGCAGTAAAGCGGAGCTCAGACTGCCGTAAAGCAAAGCTAGGTACAGTAAAGCGGAGCTCAGACTGCCGTAAAGCAAAGCTAGGTACAGTAAAGCGGAGCTCAGACTGCCGTAAAGCAGAGCTAGGTGCAGTAAAGCGGAGCTCAGACTGCCGTAAAGCAGAGCTAGGTGCAGTAAAGTGGAGCTCAGACTGCCGTAAAGCAGAGCTAAGTGCAGTAAAGTGGAGCTCAGACTGCCATAAAGCAAAGCTAGGTACAGTAAAGCGGAGCTCAGACTGCCGTAAAGCAGAGCTAGGTGCAGTAAAGCGGAGCTCAGACTGCCGTAAAGCAGAGCTAGGTGCAGTAAAGTGGAGCTCAGACTGCCATAAAGCAGAGCTAAGTGCAGTAAGGCGGAGCTCAGACTGCCGTAAAGCAAAGCTAGGTACAGTAAAGCGGAGCTCAGACTGCCGTAAAGTAGAGCTAGGTGCAGTAAAGCGGAGCTCAGACTGCCGTAAAGCAGAGCTAGGTGCAGTAAAGCGGAGCTCAGACTGCCGTAAAGTAGAGCTAGGTGCAGTAAAGTGGAGCTCAGACTGCCGTAAAGCAGAGCTAAGTGCAGTAAAGTGGAGCTCAGACTGCCGTAAAGCAGAGCTAGGTACAGTAAAGTGGAGCTCAGACTGCCGTAAAGCAGAGCTAAGTGCAGTAAAGTGGAGCTCAGACTGCCGTAAAGTAGAGCTAGGTGCAGTAAAGCGGAGCTCAGACTGCCGTAAAGTAGAGCTAGGTGCAGTAAAGTGGAGCTCAGACTGCCGTAAAGCAGAGCTAAGTGCAGTAAAGTGGAGCTCAGACTGCCGTAAAGCAGAGCTAGGTACAGTAAAGTGGAGCTCAGACTGCCGTAAAGCAGAGCTAAGTGCAGTAAAGTGGAGCTCAGACTGCCGTAAAGTAGAGCTAGGTACAGTAAAGTGGAGCTCAGACTGCCGTAAAGCAGAGCTAGGTGCAGTAAAGTGGAGCTCAGACTGCCGTAAAGCAGAGCTAAGTGCAGTAAAGTGGAGCTCAGACTGCCGTAAAGCAGAGCTAGGTACAGTAAAGTGGAGCTCAGACTGCCGTAAAGCAGAGCTAAGTGCAGTAAAGTGGAGCTCATACTGCCGTAAAGTAGAGCTAGGTACAGTAAAGTGGAGCTCAGACTGCTGTAAAGCAGAGCTAAGTACAGTAAAGTGGAGCTCAGACTGGCGTAAAGTAGAGCTAGGTGCAGTAAAGCGGAGCTCAGACTGCCGTAAAGCAGAGCTAGGTACAGTAAAGTGGAGCTCAGACTGCCGTAAAGTAGAGCTAGGTACAGTAAAGTGGAGCTCAGACTGCCGTAAAGCAGAGCTAAGTACAGTAAAGTGGAGCTCAGACTGGCGTAAAGTAGAGCTAGGTGCAGTAAAGCGGAGCTCAGACTGCTGTAAAGCAGAGCTAAGTGCAGTAAAGCGGAGCTCAGACTGCCGTAAAGCACAGCTAGGTGCAGTAAAGTGGAGCTCAGACTGCCGTAAAGCAGACCTAGGTGCAGTAAAGCGGAGCTCAGACTGCCGTAAAGCAGACCTAGGTGCAGTAAAGCGGAGCTCAGACTGCCGTAAAGCAGACCTAGGTGCAGTAAAGCGGAGCTCAGACTGCTGTAAAGCAGAGCTAAGTGCAGTAAAGCGGAGCTCAGACTGCCGTAAAGCACAGCTAGGTGCAGTAAAGCGGAGCTCAGACTGCCGTAAAGCAGACCTAGGTGCAGTAAAGCGGAGCTCAGACTGCTGTAAAGCAGAGCTAAGTGCAGTAAAGTGGAGGTCAGACTGCCGTAAAGCACAGCTAGGTGCAGTAAAGCGGAGCTCAGACTGCCGTAAAGCAGAGCTAGGTACAGTAAAGTGGAGCTCAGACTGCCGTAAAGCAGAGCTAGGTGCAGTAAAGTGGAGCTCAGACTGCCGTAAAGCAGAGCTAAGTGCAGTAAAGCGGAGCTCAGACTGCCGTAAAGCAAAGCTAGGTACAGTAAAGCGGAGCTCAGACTGCCGTAAAGCAGAGCTAGGTGCAGTAAAGCGGAGCTCAGACTGCCGTAAAGCAGAGCTAGGTACAGTAAAGTGGAGCTCAGACTGCCGTAAAGCAGAGCTAGGTGCAGTAAAGTGGAGCTCAGACTGCCGTAAAGCAGAGCTAAGTGCAGTAAAGCGGAGCTCAGACTGCCGTAAAGCAAGGCTAGGTACAGTAAAGCGGAGCTCAGACTGCCGTAAAGTAGAGCTAGGTGCAGTAAAGCGGAGCTCAGACTGCCGTAAAGTAAAGCTAGGTGCAGTAAAGCGGAGCTCAGACTGCCGTAAAGCAGAGCTAGGTGCAGTAAAGCGGAGCTCAGACTGCCGTAAAGCAGAGCTAGGTACAGTAAAGTGGAGCTCAGACTGCCGTAAAGCAGAGCTAGGTGCAGTAAAGTGGAGCTCAGACTGCCGTAAAGCAGAGCTAAGTGCAGTAAAGCGGAGCTCAGACTGCCGTAAAGCAAAGCTAGGTACAGTAAAGCGGAGCTCAGACTGCTGTAAAGCAGAGCTAAGTGCAGTAAAGTGGAGGTCAGACTGCCGTAAAGCACAGCTAGGTGCAGTAAAGCGGAGCTCAGACTGCCGTAAAGCAGAGCTAGGTACAGTAAAGTGGAGCTCAGACTGCCGTAAAGCAGAGCTAGGTGCAGTAAAGTGGAGCTCAGACTGCCGTAAAGCAGAGCTAAGTGCAGTAAAGCGGAGCTCAGACTGCCGTAAAGCAAAGCTAGGTACAGTAAAGCGGAGCTCAGACTGCCGTAAAGCAGAGCTAGGTGCAGTAAAGCGGAGCTCAGACTGCCGTAAAGCAGAGCTAGGTACAGTAAAGTGGAGCTCAGACTGCCGTAAAGCAGAGCTAGGTGCAGTAAAGTGGAGCTCAGACTGCCGTAAAGCAGAGCTAAGTGCAGTAAAGCGGAGCTCAGACTGCCGTAAAGCAAGGCTAGGTACAGTAAAGCGGAGCTCAGACTGCCGTAAAGTAGAGCTAGGTGCAGTAAAGCGGAGCTCAGACTGCCGTAAAGTAAAGCTAGGTGCAGTAAAGCGGAGCTCAGACTGCCGTAAAGCAGAGCTAGGTGCAGTAAAGCGGAGCTCAGACTGCCGTAAAGCAGAGCTAGGTACAGTAAAGTGGAGCTCAGACTGCCGTAAAGCAGAGCTAGGTGCAGTAAAGTGGAGCTCAGACTGCCGTAAAGCAGAGCTAAGTGCAGTAAAGCGGAGCTCAGACTGCCGTAAAGCAAAGCTAGGTACAGTAAAGCGGAGCTCAGACTGCCGTAAAGCAAAGCTAGGTGCAGTAAAGCGGAGCTCAGACTGCCGTAAAGCAGAGCTAGGTACAGTAAAGCGGAGCTCAGACTGCCGTAAAGCAGACCTAGGTGCAGTAAAGCGGAGCTCAGACTGCCGTAAAGCAGAGCTAGGTGCAGTAAAGTGGAGCTCAGACTGCCGTAAAGCAGAGCTAAGTGCAGTAAAGCGGAGCTCAGACTGCCGTAAAGCAAAGCTAGGTACAGTAAAGCGGAGCTCAGACTGCCGTAAAGCAGAGCTAGGTGCAGTAAAGCGGAGCTCAGACTGCCGTAAAGCAGAGCTAGGTACAGTAAAGTGGAGCTCAGACTGCCATAAAGCAGAGCTAGGTGCAGTAAAGCGCAGCTCGGACTGCCGGACATATTTCTAATGCCATCGATCTCCCAGCCTAATTTGAAAAACAATAAACATTGAAGGAGGGAGACCGTCTTCATGACCGTTTCCACAAACCTTCAGGCCTTGAACTTATTTCTTAAAAAACTCTAAGGAGCTGCGGGACACTGTGCGATAGATCTATAAGACTTCCTAGAATGAGACAGAATGCTGATTCCCATCAGAGCTCCCGTGATCTTTGGCCCTGCCCCCTCACCTCCTCGGGGGTGGCCCCCGCCTCTCTGTGGCCGCCCTCGGCCACCAGAGTCCCAGCCTCGGCTCATCTCCTCGCCGCCGTCGAAGCCCTCCTCCTGGCCACCGTACTCCTCAGCATAGCCCCGCCCCCCTGCTCGGCCAGGCCCGCCTCCTCGGAACCTTTGAAAGGACGGGATTGGGTCAGAACCCAGTTTGGGGCGGAACTCTCCGTCAATCAGAATCGGCTCACCCACCTGTCGTCCCGCCGTCCTCTGAAGTCCCCCCCACCAAAGCGCTCATCGGGGCCCCAGTTACCCCCGCCGCCCCGGTGCCCCCCTCCTCTGTGGCTACCTCCTTGGTACCCTGGCCCGGGCCCCGGCCCCGCTGGCCTCCAGCTGTCGTCTCCTCGGCCGTGGAAGTCCTGTCCTCCATCAAAGTCCTGGGGGCCCCTCCGGCCCTGCTGGTTGTCGCCCCAGTAGGAACCCGAGCCCTGGGCAGGTCCCCCTGAGCCTCCGTGGCCCTGCCGATCAGAGGGGCCCATGTGGTTGTTAGGTGGTGGCCCCCGGTGGTCCCCTGGAAGCAAAAGACACTTCAGACTCTCAGAACAAACTGCTTTGGCCCCTACAGGGCGACACATGGTACTCTGTTGGGGAACCCTGAAGGAGCCCACCTTGGTTGTTGGGCCCCTGTGGCCCCATTCCATGAATCATGGGCCCCGAGTTCTGACCCTGCAGACACCAGAGCAGAGTTAGTATTGATACCAAGCCGAACCTAAAAATGGAACAGAACCTGCCGGGTTCTACTGACCTGGGGCTGCATGTAGGGGGGGCCCTGCATGTTTCCACGGGGCCCCTGCATGTTTCCATGTGGGCCCTGCATGTTCCCAGGGCCCCCCTGCATGTTTCCATGTGGGCCCTGCATGTTCCCAGGGCCCCCCTGCATGTTCCCAGGGCCCCCCTGCATGTTCCCAGGGCCCCCCTGCATGTTCCCAGGGCCCCCCTGCATGTTTCCATGTGGGCCCTGCATGTTCCCAGGGCCCCCCTGCATATTCCCAGGGGCCCCTTGCATGTTTCCTTGGGGCCCCTGCATGTTTCCTTGGGGCCCCTGCATGTTTCCCATCCCATAGTTGTTAGGCATGTTGCCGTGTGTCCTGGGGGGCCCCGCCATCCCACCCTGCATTTGGCCCTGAGGGCCCATCATGTTTCCTTGTTGTTGCATCATGCCGCCCTGAGGTGGAGGCCCTTGAGGGTCCCTCAAACCCATTCCTCGAGGAGGGTGACCCATCATCCCTGCAGGGGGCCCCTGCATCCCTCTGGGCCCCATTCCATGTGGTCCTTGGGGGCCCATGTGTCTGGGTGGGCCAGGATGTCTCTGTGGTTCCTGCATGTCTGAGGGTCCCATCATCCCTTGAGGAGGCCCCTGATGTGACGGGGGTCCAGAGGGGGGACCCATATGTCCAGGCTGCATAAAAGACTGCTGCATCCCTCCGGGGCCCATTTGGGGGGCCATCTGCTGAGGAGGCATGTTTGGAGCGTAGCCCTGCTGACCAGGGGGGCCCGAACTCCCAGGACCTCCAGGTCCCGGAAAGGAGGGCATTGGACCCGGTCCCTGTGAGGGCCCCATATTCCCATCCGGGTTCATCTGGTTCATCTTCATCTGCTGCAGAGAAACAAGCAAAATCTGAGTCAACACTGTTGGGTTTACCTCCACACTGTCAAAATAAAAGCCTTCACACCTTCAGAATAAAGGTTCCACATGGAGACAGAGGCAACCAGAGACAGACAACCAGAACCGCCCGGCAACGATTTCTAACCACGACATAGAGTCCAGCTTCATGCTCATGCTAGCTTTCCCGCTCATGCCAGCTTCCCCGCTCATGCTAGCTTTCCCGCTCATGCTAGCTTCCCCGCTCATGCTAGCTTTCCCGCTCATGCTAGCTTCCCGCTCATGCTAGCTTTCCCAAAGACGTTAGCAAAGCATGGCAATAGAATCTCTTATCATTGTGTTACTAGGGGTTAATATACTCGATGTATATGGAGTTTCTTCACGCAGCCATCACAGTTTTATTTTCCCCACACCCTTTGAATGCATCATAGACCCCTCCTCCAAACAGGATTATTTTCTGGTACTCTACAACTACCTGCAAACTAAACATGGCGACAGCAGCTGAGCGATATACGGCAGGGTAATAGGAATTCAAACCAAAGGGGCTAAGATGTGCTGTGAAACCATCACTGCAAAAGGCAGCAGTACAAATTTATTCCAGCATAAAAAGTAATCGGCTGCAGAATGAAGAATGTTGTAAACTCTGCATGTCACACCAATGAAAACATTGAACCAATCTGCTGTGAAGCCGATGGCGTTGGCCTCGAGTCTGAAATATCGATCCCATACGAGAGAAACAGGAAGAGATGGAGGGAAACCGGACGCTGTTTATGACCTTTATTTAAATATTTCAGATGCTCTAATAGCTGTGATGTGATGATCAGAGGTTTACAGGCTTCTCTAATGTTCGCAGCTTTTTGTGCTTCTTTAAAATTCCCAGCTGGTTTTTGGAATTTCAGTCAGTTTCCTTTTTCATTCTGAACCTTTTTAATTTAGCATTTTATTTAGCATTGTGTGTTTTTGCTGTTTCCTGTTTGGTTGCTGGGATCTGGTTAACGGTCGAATTCTGACACCCAAAGACAGAATGTGGCAGAAAAGCTTTGACACTAGAACATTTTGACAGGGGACATTTTAACCAATGAAACGCATCAGTAGTGATGATGTCATCGACTGAAATGGTTCTTGTGAATCATATAAACCTACTGTGGAGCTTTAAACAGGTCTAATATATGTGCTTTAAAGGCTTTATTGTAGGATATTATTATTTGTGGTCTAAATTTGTATTAAAATAAATCAGTAAAATAAAGCAGACTGTTTTATTACACAGGTTGAAAGTTTGGAATTGCTATTTAATTTACAGAAATTGATGACAAACATCATAGGAGTGTTTTTTAGTTTTCTTTGCCTCCAAAGCTGCTGTTCAGCGGCGGAGGCTGTAACCTGCATGTTGTCGAACGTTTTACCAGTTGAAGGATAAAATCTCTGTGTGAGACGGTGACGTTCAAACAGCTCCTGAACTAAACCAAGGCGTTTACCGCTGCTATGTCTAGGAGATGGTCAAATATCAGCCACAGGCCGCCTTCACTGTTACACAATCCTCTCTAATCTGATCCAACACATCCAGGCCCAGCTGTGTGATTACAGCAGACCAGGAGTTCTGGTTTGGTTTTGGGTCGCTGAGGTGTGAGCAGTTTCCCCATCACCTGATGGCTCACTGATAGGTCAGCGTTTTCCCGTGGCTGGGCGATCATCCTCAGACTCGCTGTCAGAATGTGAGCCGCTTCCTTCCTGCCCCGTCATCCTCATCCGTCTGAATGCTATCACCAATATTCTGAAGCATTTCTAAAGCCTGTTTCTCTCAGATTTCTCCTGAAAGCCATTTTCATGCTTTAATAAAAGAGTTCAAGGGTAGAATGTTGGTTGCTAGGCAACGGTACAGAACATCAATGAAGAGTTTACAATTCAACCAACTCAGCCGTCAAAATGAGGTCAAATTAACCAGACCCACCCATGTGTGCGGCTGCAGAAGTCTAATCTGCCCTTTAGACCCAAACTGAGGTCCAGCTGGGTTTGCTACTAGTAAAATGGGATTTCCTGCAAACCAACCTGCAGGTCAACATTTACAAACATGACAGAGCTCCACTGGTTGGTGTTTGGGCTGCCAGCTAATGCACGGTGCTAGAGCAGCAGTCTGGGGTTAAAGGTCTGACCCTGAGTGGCAGTCTGGGGTTAAAGGTCTGACCCTGAGTGGCAGTCTGGGGTTAAAGGTCTGACCCTGAGTGGCAGTCTGGGGTTAAAGGTCTGACCCTGAGTGGCAGTCTGGGGTTAAAGGTCTGACCCTGAGTGGCAGTCTGGGGTTAAAGGTCTGACCCTGACTGGCAGTCTGGGGTTAAAGGTCTGACCCTGAGTGGCAGTCTGGGGTTAAAGGTCTGACCCTGAGTGGCAGTCTGGGGTTAAAGGTCTGACCCTGAGTGGCAGCCTGGGGTTAAAGGTCTGACCCTGAGTGGCAGTCTGGGGTTAAAGGTCTGACCCTGAGTGGCAGTCTGGGGTTAAAGGTCTGACCCTGAGTGGCAGTCTGGGGTTAAAGGTCTGACCCTGACTGGCAGTCTGGGGTTAAAGGTCTGACCCTGACTGGCAGTCTGGGGTTAAAGGTCTGACCCTGACTGGCAGTCTGGGGTTAAAGGTCTGACCCTGAGTGGCAGTCTGGGGTTAAAGGTCTGACCCTGACTGGCAGTCTGGGGTTAAAGGTCTGACCCTGACTGGCAGTCTGGGGTTAAAGGTCTGACCCTGACTGGCAGTCTGGGGTTAAAGGTCTGACCCTGACTGGCAGTCTGGGGTTAAAGGTCTGACCCTGAGTGGCAGTCTGGGGTTAAAGGTCTGACCCTGAGTGGCAGTCTGGGGTTAAAGGTCTGACCCTGAGTGGCAGTCTGGGGTTAAAGGTCTGACCCTGAGTGGCAGTCTGTGATTAAAGGTCTGACCCTGAGTGGCAGTCTGGGGTTAAAGGTCTGACCCTGAGTGGCAGTCTGGGATTAAAGGTCTGACCCTGAGTGGCAGCCTGGGGTTAAAGGTCTGACCCTGAGTGGCAGTCTGGGGTTAAAGGTCTGACCCTGAGTGGCAGTCTGGGGTTACAGGTCTGACCCTGAGTGGCAGTCTGGGGTTAAAGGTCTGACCCTGAGTGGCAGTCTGGGGTTAAAGGTCTGACCCTGACTGGCAGTCTGGGGTTAAAGGTCTGACCCTGAGTGGCAGTCTGGGGTTAAAGGTCTGACCCTGAGTGGCAGTCTGGGGTTAAAGGTCTGACCCTTAGTGGCAGCCTGGGGTTAAAGGTCTGACCCTGAGTGGCAGCCTGGGGTTAAAGGTCTGACCCTGAGTGGCAGTCTGGGGTTAAAGGTCTGACCCTGAGTGGCAGTCTGGGGTTAAAGGTCTGACCCTGAGTGGCAGTCTGGGGTTAAAGGTCTCACCCTGAGTGGCAGTCTGGGGTTAAAGGTCTCACCCTGAGTGGCAGTCTGGGGTTAAAGGTCTGACCCTGACTGGCAGTCTGGGGTTAAAGGTCTGACCCTGACTGGCAGTCTGGGGTTAAAGGTCTGACCCTGACTGGCAGTCTGGGGTTAAAGGTCTGACCCTGACTGGCAGTCTGGGGTTAAAGGTCTGACCCTGACTGGCAGTCTGGGGTTAAAGGTCTGACCCTGACTGGCAGTCTGGGGTTAAAGGTCTGACCCTGACTGGCAGTCTGGGGTTAAAGGTCTGACCCTGACTGGCAGTCTGGGGTTAAAGGTCTGACCCTGACTGGCAGTCTGGGGTTAAAGGTCTGACCCTGACTGGCAGCCTGGGGTTAAAGGTCTGACCCTGAGTGGCAGTCTGGGGTTAAAGGTCTGACCCTGACTGGCAGTCTGGGGTTAAAGGTCTGACCCTGACTGGCAGCCTGGGGTTAAAGGTCTGACCCTGAGTGGCAGTCTGGGGTTAAAGGTCTGACCCTGAGTGGCAGTCTGGGGTTAAAGGTCTCACCCTGAGTGGCAGTCTGGGGTTAAAGGTCTCACCCTGAGTGGCAGTCTGGGGTTAAAGGTCTGACCCTGAGTGGCAGTCTGGGGTTAAAGGTCTGACCCTGAGCGGCAGTCTGGGGTTAAAGGTCTGACCCTGACTGGCAGTCTGGGGTTAAAGGTCTGACCCTGACTGGCAGTCTGGGGTTAAAGGTCTGACCCTGAGTGGCAGTCTGGGGTTAAAGGTCTGACCCTGAGTGGCAGTCTGGGGTTAAAGGTCTGACCCTGAGTGGCAGTCTGGGGTTAAAGGTCTGACCCTGACTGGCAGTCTGGGGTTAAAGGTCTGACCCTGAGTGGCAGTCTGGGGTTAAAGGTCTGACCCTGAGTGGCAGCCTGGGGTTAAAGGTCTGACCCTGACTGGCAGCCTGGGGTTAAAGGTCTGACCCTGACTGGCAGTCTGGGGTTAAAGGTCTGACCCTGACTGGCAGTCTGGGGTTAAAGGTCTGACCCTGACTGGCAGTCTGGGGTTAAAGGTCTGACCCTGACTGGCAGTCTGGGGTTAAAGGTCTGACCCTGACTGGCAGTCTGGGGTTAAAGGTCTGACCCTGACTGGCAGTCTGGGGTTAAAGGTCTGACCCTGACTGGCAGTCTGGGGTTAAAGGTCTGACCCTGACTGGCAGCCTGGGGTTAAAGGTCTGACCCTGAGTGGCAGTCTGGGGTTAAAGGTCTGACCCTGAGCGGCAGTCTGGGGTTAAAGGTCTGACCCTGAGTGGCAGTCTGGGGTTAAAGCTCTGACCCTGACTGGCAGTCTGGGGTTAAAGCTCTGACCCTGAGTGGCAGTCTGGGGTTAAAGGTCTGACCCTGAGTGGCAGTCTGGGGTTACAGGTCTGACCCTGAGTGGCAGTCTGGGGTTAAAGGTCTGACCCTGAGTGGCAGTCTGGGGTTAAAGGTCTGACCCTGACTGGCAGTCTGGGGTTAAAGGTCTGACCCTGAAGGTCTGACCCTGAGTGGCAGTCTGGGGTTAAAGGTCTGACCCTGAGTGGCAGTCTGGGGTTAAAGGTCTGACCCTGAGTGGCAGTCTGGGGTTAAAGGTCTGACCCTGAGTGGCAGTCTGGGGTTAAAGGTCTGACCCTGAGTGGCAGTCTGGGGTTAAAGGTCTGACCCTGAGTGGCAGTCTGGGGTTAAAGGTCTGACCCTGAGTGGCAGTCTGGGGTTACAGGTCTGACCCTGAGTGGCAGTCTGGGGTTAAAGGTCTGACCCTGAGTGGCAGTCTGGGGTTAAAGGTCTGACCCTGACTGGCAGTCTGGGGTTAAAGGTCTGACCCTGACTGGCAGTCTGGGGTTAAAGGTCTGACCCTGACTGGCAGTCTGGGGTTAAAGGTCTGACCCTGACTGGCAGCCTGGGGTTAAAGCTCTGACCCTGACTGGCAGTCTGGGGTTAAAGCTCTGACCCTGACTGGCAGTCTGGGGTTAAAGCTCTGACCCTGACTGGCAGTCTGGGGTTAAAGGTCTGACCCTGAGTGGCAGTCTGGGGTTAAAGGTCTGACCCTGAGTGGCAGTCTGGGGTTAAAGGTCTGACCCTGAGTGGCAGTCTGGGGTTAAAGGTCTGACCCTGAGTGGCAGTCTGGGGTTAAAGGTCTGACCCTGACTGGCAGTCTGGGGTTAAAGGTCTGACCCTGACTGGCAGTCTGGGGTTAAAGGTCTGACCCTGACTGGCAGTCTGGGGTTAAAGGTCTGACCCTGAGTGGCAGCCTGGGGTTAAAGGTCTGACCCTGAGTGGCAGTCTGGGGTTAAAGGTCTGACCCTGAGTGGCAGTCTGGGGTTAAAGGTCTGACCCTGAGTGGCAGTCTGGGGTTAAAGGTCTGACCCTGAGTGGCAGTCTGGGGTTAAAGGTCTGACCCTGAGTGGCAGTCTGGGGTTAAAGGTCTGACCCTGAGTGGCAGTCTGGGGTTAAAGGTCTGACCCTGAGTGGCAGTCTGGGGTTAAAGGTCTGACCCTGAGTGGCAGTCTGGGGTTAAAGGTCTGACCCTGAGTGGCAGTCTGGGGTTAAAGGTCTGACCCTGAGTGGCAGTCTGGGGTTAAAGGTCTGACCCTGAGTGGCAGTCTGGGGTTAAAGGTCTGACCCTGAGTGGCAGTCTGGGGTTAAAGGTCTGACCCTGAGTGGCAGTCTGGGATTAAAGGTCTGACCCTGAGTGGCAGTCTGGGGTTAAAGGTCTGACCCTGAGCGGCAGTCTGGGGTTAAAGGTCTGACCCTGAGTGGCAGTCTGGGGTTAAAGGTCTGACCCTGACTGGCAGTCTGGGGTTAAAGGTCTGACCCTGAGTGGCAGTCTGGGGTTAAAGGTCTGACCCTGACTGGCAGTCTGGGGTTAAAGGTCTGACCCTGAGTGGCAGTCTGGGGTTAAAGGTCTGACCCTGACTGGCAGTCTGGGGTTAAAGGTCTGACCCTGAGTGGCAGTCTGGGGTTAAAGGTCTGACCCTGACTGGCAGTCTGGGGTTAAAGGTCTGACCCTGAGTGGCAGTCTGGGGTTAAAGGTCTGACCCTGACTGGCAGTCTGGGGTTACAGGTCTGACCCTGACTGGCAGTCTGGGGTTAAAGGTCTGACCCTGAGTGGCAGCCTGGGGTTAAAGGTCTGACCCTGAGTGGCAGTCTGGGGTTAAAGGTCTGACCCTGACTGGCAGTCTGGGGTTAAAGGTCTGACCCTGAGTGGCAGTCTGGGGTTAAAGGTCTGACCCTGAGTGGCAGTCTGGGGTTAAAGGTCTGACCCTGACTGGCAGTCTGGGGTTAAAGGTCTGACCCTGAGTGGCAGTCTGGGGTTAAAGGTCTGACCCTGAGTGGCAGTCTGGGGTTAAAGGTCTGACCCTGAGTGGCAGTCTGGGGTTAAAGGTCTGACCCTGAGTGGCAGTCTGGGGTTAAAGGTCTGACCCTGAGTGGCAGCCTGGGGTTAAAGGTCTGACCCTGAGTGGCAGTCTGGGGTTAAAGGTCTGACCCTGAGTGGCAGTCTGTGAGGCTCCAACTCAGAACCTCAGAGCTCCAACCACTAGGCCGCCACCTCCCCATCTAAACCCTGACAGCTGATTTAACCAACTAGCCACTCCTTTAATTAGAACTTTTATTATTATTATTAAAGCATTTTAAATGCCACAATAACCACATTTAATGAATTTTAATGCCAGTTAAGGCCTTCTTTAAAAAATAATTTAATGGAAACCCTGAATATAATTTAGCTTCCAGATGCCTCCTTAACATGTTGCTCTGTGCACCTGATGAATGAAGCGTTTGTGTTTATTACCACTACAGTACGAATCCATCATCAAACCATTCAGGGCCGTCGTTTCAGATTTCTATAGTTCTCATCTAGATCCACTGCAATCTGAGCAACGGTTAGACAGACTAAAGGCCCATTCATACCTCACGTAAAAGACGGATACGGATACGTGTGGAGTGTTTCATACGTTCTAACCGTCGATTTCGTCCGTACTTTGACACGAAAATTGGGAGCTTACGCTTACGGACGAAACGGATCAATACGGAGCAATACTACCGGAAACGGTGGGGGCGCTATTGAGTTTTTAGTACAAAATGTCAACAAAATCAGGTCTTGGACCATCGCCATGTTTTGATCAATGACGAATCATTGGCGCCCAGCACTGCCACCTAGAGGAAATACGGGTTATTGCGCACCTCAACGGACGGAGGTATGAAGGAGTCAACGGATAGAACGTACGGACAGAAATACGGACGTGCAGGCCAAACGTGAGGTATGAATGGGCCTTAACGCTGACCCACATCCATCATCCATTTCCAGCAGAACCAGCCAGCTTTCCCTGCTGCCCGACCTGATGGACCCGGACAGGAAGGAAGAGCGGACCCCGCAGAGCTGACCCCGCAGAGCGGACCCCGCAGAGCTGACCCCGCAGAGCTGACCCCGCAGAGCCGACCCCGCAGAGCCGACCCCGCAGAGCGGACCCCGCAGAGCTGACCCCGCAGAGCTGACCCCGCAGAGCTGACCCCGCAGAGCTGACCCCCAGAGCTGACCCCGCAGAGCAGACCCCGCAGAGCTGACCCCGCAGAGCGGCTCCTGCAGAGCCGACCCCGCAGAGCGGCTCCTGTAGCGTCTGGACTGAGGGGAAGCAGCGGTTACCTCCAGCAGCTGAGGGTTGGTGTACTGCAGCGCCGCCATCTCCTGCTCCAGCTCCGCCTGCGTCTTCTTCTTCCCGTCCACCTTCTGCTCCAGGGCTCGCTCTTTGGACATCTCTGAGGACGGAGGCATCATGGGAACCTTGTTCTCCGCCCAGGCCTGCAGGTAAACACCCAGCGTCAGCGGCCGTGGTCACATGGCGGCGGCGTGGTTGGGGGGTAGAGCGTACCTGCTGGAACTGAGCCGGGATGGGTTTGGCGTAGGGGACCTTCTTCTGGGGAACCTTCTTGGAGTCCTTGCCCATCACCTCGTCCACGCCCCAGTCCAGTCCAGGGATGGACATCTCCACGTCCAGGGCCGCCTCCTTGCCTGCAGACGGAGGAAGACCTGAGGCTGCGGTTCTGGTGGCCGGGCCGAGCCGGGCCGAGCCGTGTCTCCACTACTTACTGCTCTGCTCCTCCTCCATGGCCGCCTTCAGCTGCTCGGGGATTCCCATCCCAGGGATGGTGGCCAGGCTGTTGGGCTCCACGTCGTCTGCACACAGAGACAGCGTTCACACGCAGGTTCTGAAGGTTCTGAAGCGCAGACCGTCTGCTGCGTCTGGCCGCCTGCGGCTTACCGTACTCCACGCCGTCCTCTGACATGCCGGGCAGCAGGTTCAGGTTGTAGCGGTCCCTCATTTTGTCCCCGGGTCGATTCCTGGTCCAAAACTTACTGCAGAACAGAACCGACAGAGAAGTTAGCGGAGTGATCCGGTTCTGGACTGAAACGGCTCCGGTACCGGCGTGCCTACCTGGTGTGGTCGTTAGAACCAGAGCAGAGGATGTGACCCAGCGGGTGCCAGGCCAGACTCCAGATCATCCCTTCATGAGCCACCTCCATGCCGCCCACCTCCTTCTCCACGCTGCGACACACAGAGACAGGCTGATGACTGCCGGGTCAGAACCCAGAGAGGTTCTGCTGCTCCAGCGTTCTTACCCCACATGCCAGAAGAGCAGCGAGCCGTCTGAGCCTCCGCTGGCGAACAGGCCTTCATGGACAGGATGCCAGGCGACGGCTGATGGAAGGACAGAGACCAGAGGGTTAGATCAGGACCTGCAGGGGGCGGAGCCTCAGATGCTGCTCATTGGCTGATTCACACAGGAAACGCTTCCTGCTGCTGCTAACTTCTAAACGCTGTCTGTGCTAGCTACTGTCCTGACCCCTGACCTCTCCACCTGTTGATAGTGGGGAGAAATATCAGCTAAATAACAGGAAGTCTCTAGATGTTCATGACTGCGAACCCTCAGCAGCAGCAGGGGGCGCTGTGTCCGCCATGTTTTACTGATTCCCCTAATCGCTCTGAGCTGAAACTGTCCTCACTGAGGGAGGAGCTTAGAGCGCCATAAACCAAGCTTTACCCACAACGCTAGCTCCTGCTCCCACCTGGTCCCGCTCGGCCCCTGACCCACCTGTAGCCCCCTTATTATGGCCCCTGACCCACCTGTAGCCCCCTTATTGTGGCCCCTGACCCACCTGTAGCCCCCTTATTGTGGCCCCTGACCCACCTGTAGCCCCCTTATTGTGGCCCCTGACCCACCTCTAGCCTCCTTATTGTGGCCCCTGACCCACCTGATCTGAGCCTCCTTATTGTGGCCCCTGACCCACCTGATCTGAGCCTCCTTATTGTGGCCCCTGACCCACCTGTAGCGTCCTTATTGTGGCCCCTGACCCACCTGTAGCCCCCTTATTGTGGCCCCTGACCCACCTCTAGCCTCCTTATTGTGGCCCCTGACCCACCTGATCTGAGCCTCCTTATTGTGGCCCCTGACCCACCTGATCTGAGTCTCCTTATTGTGGCCCCTGACCCACCTGTAGCCTCCTTATTGTGGCCCCTGACCCACCTGTAGCCCCCTTATTGTGGCCCCTGACCCACCTGTAGCCCCCTTATTGTGGCCCCTGACCCACCTCTAGCCTCCTTATTGTGGCCCCTGACCCACCTGATCTGAGCCTCCTTATTGTGGCCCCTGACCCACCTGATCTGAGCCTCCTTATTGTGGCCCCTGACCCACCTGTAGCGTCCTTATTGTGGCCCCTGACCCACCTGTAGCCTCCTTATTGTGGCCCCTGACCCACCTGTAGCCTCCTAATTGTGGCCCCTGACCCACCTGTAGCCCCCTTCTTGTTGCCCCTGACCCACCTGTAGCCTCCTTATTGTGGCCCCTGACCCACCTGATCTGAGTCTCCTTATTGTGGCCCCTGACCCACCTGTAGCCCCCTTATTGTGGCCCCTGACCCACCTGTAGCCCCCTTCTTGTGGCCCCTGACCCACCTGTAGCCCCCTTCTTGTGGCCCCTGACCCACCTGTAGCCTCCTTCCTGTGGCCCCTGACCCACCTGTAGCCTCCTTCTTGTGGCCCCTGACCCACCTGTAGCCCCCTTCTTGTGGCCCCTGACCCACCTGTAGCCCCCTTCTTGTGGCCCCTGACCCACCTGTAGCCTCCTTCCTGTGGCCCCTGACCCACCAGATCTGAGTCTCCTTATTGTGGCCCCTGACCCACCTGTAGCCCCCTTATTGTGGCCCCTGACCCACCTGTAGCCCCCTTATTGTGGCCCCTGACCCACCTGTAGCCTCCTTATTGTGGCCCCTGACCCACCTGTAGCCCCCTTATTGTGGCCCCTGACCCACCTGTAGCCCCCTTCTTGTGGCCCCTGACCCACCTGTAGCCCCCTTCTTGTGGCCCCTGACCCACCTGTAGCCCCCTTCTTGTGGCCCCTGACCCACCTGTAGCCTCCTTCTTGTGGCCCCTGACCCACCTGATCTGAGTCTCCTTATTGTGGCCCCTGACCCACCTGTAGCCCCCTTCTTGTGGCCCCTGACCACCTGTAGCCCCCTTCTTGTGGCCCCTGACCACCTGTAGCCTTCTTGTGGCCCCTGACCCACCTGTAGCCTCCTTCTTGTGGCCCCTGACCCACCTGTAGCCTCCTTCTTGTGGCCCCTGACCCACCTGTAGCCCCCTTCTTGTGGCCCCTGACCACCTGTAGCCTTCTTGTGGCCCCTGACCCACCTGTAGCCCCCTTCTTGTGGCCCCTGACCACCTGTAGCCCCCTTCTTGTGGCCCCTGACCCACCTGTAGCCCCCTTATTGTGGCCCCTGACCCACCTGTAGCCCCCTTATTGTGGCCCCTGACCCACCTCTAGCCTCCTTATTGTGGCCCCTGACCCACCTGATCTGAGCCTCCTTATTGTGGCCCCTGACCCACCTGATCTGAGCCTCCTTATTGTGGCCCCTGACCCACCTGTAGCGTCCTTATTGTGGCCCCTGACCCACCTGTAGCCTCCTTATTGTGGCCCCTGACCCACCTGTAGCCTCCTAATTGTGGCCCCTGACCCACCTGTAGCCCCCTTCTTGTGGCCCCTGACCCACCTGTAGCCTCCTTCTTGTTGCCCCTGACCCACCTGTAGCCTCCTTCTTGTGGCCCCCTGACCCACCTGATCTGAGTCTCCTTATTGTGGCCCCTGACCCACCTGTAGCCCCCTTATTGTGGCCCCTGACCCACCTGTAGCCCCCTTATTGTGGCCCCTGACCCACCTGTAGCCTCCTTCCTGTGGCCCCTGACCCACCTGTAGCCTCCTTCTTGTGGCCCCTGACCCACCTGTAGCCCCCTTCTTGTGGCCCCTGACCCACCTGTAGCCCCCTTCTTGTGGCCCCTGACCCACCTGTAGCCTCCTTCCTGTGGCCCCTGACCCACCTGATCTGAGTCTCCTTATTGTGGCCCCTGACCCACCTGTAGCCCCCTTATTGTGGCCCCTGACCCACCTGTAGCCCCCTTATTGTGGCCCCTGACCCACCTGTAGCCTCCTTATTGTGGCCCCTGACCCACCTGTAGCCCCCTTATTGTGGCCCCTGACCCACCTGTAGCCCCCTTCTTGTGGCCCCTGACCCACCTGTAGCCCCCTTCTTGTGGCCCCTGACCCACCTGTAGCCCCCTTCTTGTGGCCCCTGACCCACCTGTAGCCTCCTTCTTGTGGCCCCTGACCCACCTGATCTGAGTCTCCTTATTGTGGCCCCTGACCCACCTGTAGCCCCCTTCTTGTGGCCCCTGACCACCTGTAGCCCCCTTCTTGTGGCCCCTGACCACCTGTAGCCTTCTTGTGGCCCCTGACCCACCTGTAGCCTCCTTCTTGTGGCCCCTGACCCACCTGTAGCCTCCTTCTTGTGGCCCCTGAACACCTGTAGCCCCCTTCTTGTGGCCCCTGACCACCTGTAGCCTCCTTCTTGTGGCCCCTGACCACCTGTAGCCTCCTTCTTGTGGCCCCTGACCACCTGTAGCCCCCTTCTTGTGGCCCCTGACCACCTGTAGCCTCCTTCTTGTGGCCCCTGACCACCTGTAGCCTTCTTGTGGCCCCTGACCCACCTGTAGCCTCCTTCTTGTGGCCCCTGACCCACCTGTAGCCCCCTTCTTGTGGCCCCTGACCCACCTGTAGCCTCCTTCTTGTGGCCCCTGACCCACCTGTAGCATCCTTCTTGTGGCCCCTGACCCACCTGTAGCCTCCTTCTTCTGGCCCCTGACCACCTGTAGCCCCCTTCTTATGGCCCCTGACCACCTGTAGCCTTCTTGTGGCCCCTGACCACCTGTAGCCTTCTTGTGGCCCCTGACCACCTGTAGCCTTCTTGTGGCCCCTGACCCACCTGTAGCCTCCTTCTTGTGGCCCCTGACCCACCTGTAGCCTCCTTCTTGTGGCCCCTGACCCACCTGTAGCCTCCTTCTTGTGGCCCCTGACCACCTGTAGCCTCCTTATTGTGGCCCCTGACCACCTGTAGCCTCCTTCTTGTGGCCCCTGACCACCTGTAGCCCCCTTCTTGTGGCCCCTGACCACCTGTAGCCCCCTTCTTGTGGCCCCTGACCACCTGTAGCCTTCTTGTGGCCCCTGACCCACCTGTAGCCCCCTTCTTGTGGCCCCTGACCACCTGTAGCCCCCTTCTTGTGGCCCCTGACCACCTGTAGCCTCCTTCTTGTGGCCCCTGACCACCTGTAGCCTCCTTCTTGTGGCCCCTGACCCACCTGTAGCCCCCTTCTTGTGGCCCCTGACCACCTGTAGCCTCCTTCTTGTGGCCCCTGACCCACCTGTAGCATCCTTCTTGTGGCCCCTGACCACCTGTAGCCCCCTTCTTGTGGCCCCTGACCACCTGTAGCCCCCTTCTTGTGGCCCCTGACCACCTGTAGCCCCCTTCTTGTGGCCCCTGACCCACCTGTAGCCTCCTTCTTGTGGCCCCTGACCACCTGTAGCCCCCTTCTTGTGGCCCCTGACCACCTGTAGCCCCCTTCTTGTGGCCCCTGACCACCTGTAGCCCCCTTCTTGTGGCCCCTGACCACCTGTAGCCTTCTTGTGGCCCCTGACCCACCTGTAGCCTCCTTCTTGTGGCCCCTGACCCACCTGTAGCCTCCTTCTTCTGGCCCCTGAACACCTGTAGCCCCCTTCTTGTGGCCCCTGACCACCTGTAGCCTTCTTGTGGCCCCTGACCCACCTGTAGCCCCCTTCTTGTGGCCCCTGACCACCTGTAGCCCCCTTCTTGTGGCCCCTGACCACCTGTAGCCTCCTTCTTGTGGCCCCTGACCACCTGTAGCCTTCTTGTGGCCCCTGACCCACCTGTAGCCTCCTTCTTGTGGCCCCTGACCCACCTGTAGCCCCCTTCTTGTGGCCCCTGACCACCTGTAGCCTCCTTCTTGTGGCCCCTGACCCACCTGTAGCATCCTTCTTGTGGCCCCTGACCACCTGTAGCCCCCTTCTTGTGGCCCCTGACCACCTGTAGCCCCCTTCTTGTGGCCCCTGACCACCTGTAGCCCCCTTCTTGTGGCCCCTGACCACCTTTAGCCTCCTTCTTGTTGCCCCTGACCACCTGTAGCCCCCTTCTTGTGGCCCCTGACCCACCTGTAGCCTCCTTCTTGTGGCCCCTGAACACCTGCAGCTCCTCCTTCAGGTTGCGGATGTCGAACAGCTTACACAGGTGATCTCTGGACGCCGTCAGCAGCCAGTTCCCGTTCAGGTTCCACTTCACCTCCATCACTGTGTTCTTGTGGGCGTGGCTAAGGACAGAGAGGCGGGACAGTGAGGTTCTGAAGGTCCAGGAAGGTTCAGACGGGTTCTGGTCCACTTACAGCGTGGCCAGACTCTGGCCCGTCTTCGGGTCCCAGAACTTGATGGGCTGCTGGCTGTCCTTGCTGCCCGACACCACCAGGCCTTTGGTCGGGTGCCAGTCCACACACTTCACGTCGGCGCCGTGACCTGAACGAGGACAGAACAGGCTCATTGGAGCGGGACGCCACGGCGCCGTCCTGCGACAGCAACAGAACCAGTACCTCTGAGGATCCGCTCCTCGTGGCAGCGCAGGAAGTCCCAGATCCGGACGGTTCCGTCATCGGAGCAGGTGGCAAACTTGTTGTCGGTGGGAGAGAAGCTGCAGAGGAGGAGCAGAGTTAGACTTCTGGACCATCAGAACCGACCCGCCCTGCAGTCATCCAGAACCCCGCCCCCTGCTGCTGCTGCGCCGTCACTGCACCCACAGGGCACAGGTCCGATCTGAAGCAGCACCACCTGATCCCCCAGAACCACGTCTGTCTGCCTTACAGTTCTGGTGCCGCAGGTTGGACGGGTCTGAGCCTTGGTTCTGGTTCTGACCCAGTCTGAGAGGCTAACACCTGGCTGGATAAGATCAAAGAGCGGTTCTTCTAAATCGGACCTGGGACCAGGCTTACAGGAAAGATCCGAACGGGTTCTGTTAGCCAGCCGGACCTGGTCAGATTCTATCCAACATGGATCAGAACCAGACAGAATGAGCCGCATGACCCGATCAGCAGCAGAACATCCGGACCTGCTGGCCCGAGACCCGGTTTAACCAGAACCGGGAGTGGGACGGGCCAGGCTAAAACGGGTCAAAAGGAAGGTTCTGAAGGAGGATCAGATGAGATCCAGCAGAACCCTGAAGGTTCTGGTCGGGATATGATCAGAACCACCTGGGTTTTCAGACGTTCCTCCGAGCAGAACCGGTTCTGAAAGGATTGTTAGAGAAGAACCAGCAGCTCGTAAACTGGGTCCAAATGGTTCTGGTTCTGTAAAGCTGCCTGCTAAAGAAACCGTGATCATCATCATCCTCTGAGAAGATTCATCAGTTGAAACCAAACCGTTTCCGACCCACCGCCCGGGTGGTTCCGACCCGCCAGGATGGTTCCGACCCGCCATCCGGGTGGTTCTGACCCGTATGGTTCCGACCCGCCGCCCTGATGGTTCCGACCCGCCGCCCGGGTGGTTCCGACCCGCCCGGATGGTTCCGACCCGCCGCCCGGGTGGTTCCGACCCGCCTGGATGGTTCCGACCCGCCATCCGGGTGGTTCTGACCCGTATGGTTCCGACCCGCCGCCCTGATGGTTCCGACCCCCCGCCCTGATGGTTCCGACCCGCCGCCCGGGTGGTTCCGACCCGCCGCCTGGGTGGTTCCGACCCGCCGCCTGGGTGGTTCCGACCCGCCGCCTGGGTGGTTCTGGGTGAGCCAGGGTGAAACACCAGACATGGTCTCCATGGCAACCATCTGTTGTCCTCTGGTTGCCATCACCAACAGATAGAGCAGAGGTCCAACTGGATCCAGAACCGGGTTCAGGTGGGGGCGGTACCTCGATTCTGGAACCAGTTCTTCTGTAAAGAAGGTTCTGATCATGGAGCCCAGATTGATCCGGGTCAGAATCACATGGAGAGCTCAGGGTCGGAGCCAGCGTTCTGATGGGCCCATTAGGGCCGGTTCTGGAGGATCCAAGCAGAACCACCACAGGTTCTGAGGCTGCGGGTCATGGAGCTGTAGAAACAGAACCGCCACGCTGCAGCTGGGTCTGAGCGGCGGCAGACGTTCACGGAGCTCTGAATCCATCAGAACCGGTCCAGAAGAACAGCCTCCAGCTTCTGACCCGGTTTGGAGAATGGAGCTGAAGGTTCTGCTCCTCTGACCCAAACCGACGGTTCTGATGGACTGTCTGCTGCTCCTGGACCGTTTGGGTCCAGGAGCAGCAGACAGTCTGTCAGCAGAACCCAGGAAGGAGCACCGAGCTACTGGACCGGCTAACAGCGCTGACCCGGTCGGCCCCATCTGGACAGAGCAGAATCCTGGTTCTGATCCGACCCGCCCCATCACTGGACCTTCAGAAATGCTGATAATCCAAGAACTGGAACCAGAACCAGAGCTGACCCAACTGGGGCTGCAACAACGAATCGATAAAATCGACTTTTAAAAGCTTTGGCAACGAATTTCATCATCGATTAGTTGAGTCGCGTGATTAATGCGTCATCCGCTGCCGCCGTCACCATTGCCGTGGGATGTTTACCCTCAGCGTCCAGACTGCAAATGAAGCGCGCAAGTTGATCACAATAATTAAATAGTAAAGTAAAAAAAGTCGTAACATACAACTTTTGTAAAAACAAATGAACATGGCGCGGAAGCGCCACTGTTATGATGCAGCAGCTGAAAAGGAAACACGTTGGAGCCTTCGATGGCGGTGAAGAGAGCTGATCAGCAGGGTGAGCGGCCATGTTTGTTTGGTTTTAAAGTGGGGGAAACGTAACGTTAGTTTCTCAGGTAGCTCATCTGATGCTTTCCTTACCGTGTTAGTAGATTACAGACAGTGATAAGGTTGGCTACTTATTTTACTTTTAATTTCATTTGAATTAGCTTAAGCAGCGTTTATATTTTCTTTATAAATAAATTAACTTGCAAATTATGAGGGCAAGGCTTTTCAAGTTTAAATCTTCTGGCAAAGATAAAGTAAAGAAGATCCTGCAATTTATGGAAGTAAAGCAGAATAAAATCCAGCAAGATCAGTAATATGTCAATTAATTATCTGCCACATTCCCATGTAAATATCTGTCTTTGGAGGATGTGTTTTTTACCACCCCTAGTTCTCTCATTTTTATTCCAAATACAATTTATAATTTGAATCACAGGGCTATTTTTATCTCTATGGTTCAGTATTTTCTCAAGTAGCAACTTTAACTGCTATACTTTCCTGTCTTAAAAGGCAGAACTCTTCTAGTCTAAAAAAACTCATTTGTTGAAATGGGGGGGCCTATTGTTTGAACCCCTTAGGGGCTTTAAAAAACAAAAATGTCTTTTTTTGCGCTTTATGAAACAAAGTAGCCTATATTTTGTGGATGTACAGCTACATTTCTCATGTAAGTTTGCGTAGTTTTAACACAAACATTTATTTTTCATATTGCACCAGTACAGTTAATGAGCAACCTGTACTTGTGTGCTTGTTTGTTCTGTCCAAAATGTTTATTTTGGAATAAAGAGGTTAATATAAAAAATATTTTTTGTCCGATTCATCGATTAATCGAAAAAATAATCGGCCGATTCATCGATTTTTAAAATAATCGTTAGTTGCAGCCCTAGAATCAACTCAATATGAGCTCAGTGGCTCCAATCCAGAACGGTTCTGATCCGGCTGGTCTGAGAACTCATCGGACCTTCCTCTGGTTCTGGAAGCGTTTTGAGTTCCACTAGAACCTATCAGAACCTTTAATCTCAGGGTCAACATGACTGAAGGAGGTTCTCTACAGCCCCACTGCATCATGGGAAACGTAGTCTGAGCTGCAGACGCAGCAGTGGGAGCTGGATTTAAACATCAGCTGCAGAGAGAACCGAACCAAACCGGGCCAAGCAGAACTTTACTGATCCCTAGCAGAACTTTATCTTTCCAACGGGCCTAGCAGAACTTTATTGATCCCTAACTGAACTTTATTGATCCCTAGCAGAACTTTATTGATCCCTTTATTGATCACGGGGCTGGCCCAGTGTGAGGAGGATAACTTTATTCAGAACTGGGCCCTTGGTGCAGTAATGAGCAGCTGGCTGCAGCAGGGAGCGGCGCCCCCTGGTGGCCTGAGCTACAGAGAGAGGAAGGAAGGTAACCTGGCTTCTCTAATGGCCTCCTTGTGAGCCTGGAACATCTTCACGTTGTTCATGTTGGACTGCCAGTACTTGACGTAGCCGCTGTGGTCCGCCGTCAGCATCCACATGTCGTTGTGGGACCAGGTCATGGCGCGCACCGGGCTGTCGTGGGCCTGCAGACACAGAGGGGGGCGGGGGGTTAGGTGGTTGCTCAAACCAGAACCGCACAGAGAACCGAGGTTCTGCTGCACCACAGACCGACAGACCGGGTTCTCTAGAGGGTTCTAAAGACGATCCAGTGGAATGAGTTTAGAGCATGACATCACTGGTGACTGCAACCAATCAGATCACAGCGGGCTGACACCGTTTGGACCTGGAACCGCTTCAGGAGTCCAGAGAACAGTTCTGAATCATCTCCCCCACGGGTCTGATAGAACCGGCAGCGGTTCTGGAGGGCCCGGCTGCCCTGCCTGTGGACCTTTACCTGCAGGATGGTCTCAAAGTTGAAGGTGAGTCCGTTCCACAGGGTGAACTCTCCGCTGGACGCTCCGGTCACCAGGCGCCGGCCCTCAGGGGTCCACTGCACACAGAACCAGCAGAACCGCTTAGATCCAAACACAAACAGGAAGTGATGCGACACGGCAGCGGCGGCTCACCCTGATGACGAAGACGGGACACTTGACCTTGTTGGTGGAGGTTCTGACGAACTTGGTGGTGACGGCGTTCATGGGGTTGTTCAGCATGCCCAGCGGGGGAACCAGCTGCAGAGAGAACACAGAGTCAGGTTCTGACCCAGACCGCCCGCCCGGGCCGGGCCTCGCCACCGTCAGGACTCACGTCATTATAGCAGCCGGCGTCCGGTTGGATGGCCCTCAGGTCCCGCTGGTCCCGCTGCCACAGGCGGTTCTGAAAACAGGCAAAGTGGAGTGGTTAAGGCGGGTCAGAACCGCGCTGAGCCCAGCGGGCGGACAGCGGCGTACCTCCAGGTATCTGATGACAGACGGGTTGTAGTCGATGGTCTTCCTGTTCACAGCCTTCCTCATGCGCTTCCCGTCGAAGGTCAGCTGCTGCATGGCCTGCTGCTGCGCGAAGTCCGGCCGCTTGTAGAACACCTGCCGCGGCGCCTGGTGCTGGAACCGCGGCATGTGGAAGAAGCGCTGCGGCGAGCCCACGTCCGTCGCCATGGTGACCAGACCAGCCTGCAGCGGACGGACGAGAAACCACCTGTTTATTACAGATTACACAGTCCAGGTTAAGCAGTCCAGATTAAGCAGTCCAGGTTAAGCAGTCCAGATTAAGCAGTCCAGATTAAGCAGTCCAGGTTAAGCAGTCCGGATTAAATAGTCCGGATTAAATAGTCCGGATTAAACAGTCCGGATTAAACTGTCCGGATTAAACAGTCCAGTCCAGATTAAACTGTCCGGATTAAACTGTCCTGATTAAGCAGTCCAGTCCAGATTAAACTGTCCGGATTAAACTGTCCGGATTAAGCAGTCCAGTCCAGATTAAACAGTCCAGATTAAGCAGTCCAGATTAAGCAGTCCAGATTAAACAGTCCAGATTGAACAGTCCAGTCCATCCATGCCAGCTGTAGTCACGTGCAGCCACTAAATGACAACAGCAGCGGACATCCAGGAGTGATGCTCCTTCAGGACCAGGACCAGCCGCTCCTGGAATGAGCATCACTCCTGGAGATCATCCCAGTTTAAAGCTCAGCTTCCGGGTTTGAAGCACTGTAACCCAGGCTGGTTCCTCTGGCTCATCCTGCCGCTGCTTTCGCTTTAAATCGGAACTTTAACGTGTTTCCAATCAGCGAACCTTAGCTAGCAGGGTTCAGGTCCACTGCTCTGGGTTTGTTCTGTGGATCTGGCCCCATGAGTCGCTCCATCCCGGTTCGGGTTGATCAGAACCTTCTCCGGGTTCCTGCTAATGGAGCAGCAGGGGAGCTAAGGGGTTAGCCGCAGCAGCTAGCAGGCTAAACCAGAGCAGGAGGGACGGAGAAGCGCGGCGGCTCCTCCGCCGGAACCCATAAGAGAGGCTAAAACTAGCGCTGGTTCGGTGGTTCTCAGCACCGAGTCCCGGTTCGGTCCAGCTCCTGGATCTGAGTGGATTTAATGGCGGCGGCTGCTCCGACAGAAACTCACCAACAATCTGCAGAGCGCAGCTAGCTAGCTGTTAGCTAGCTGTTAGCTACAAGCTAGGTTCTCCTGGAAACCTTCCTCTGGAGAACCATGAGCGGCTATCGGCAGATTAATGGGAACAGATTTTATTTATTCGGATTAAGATGATTTATGTCCTAATTTCACCAGAATAAGCATTTTAACCGCCAGCGGGCTGCATCATGACGCCTCTTCTTCTTGGGCCGAGTGCAAAGCATTCTGGGACATATCTATTCAACGGGCGGGATGTAGCGCCGGCGTCATCCGCAAAGGATCATGGGAAACGAAGCCCCGAGTCCAAACGCATACAACTAGGCTGTGTTCCAATTCATGGGCTGCATCCTCCAAGGACGCGGTCTACCTGGACTGGATCCTTCGAAGTCCTTGAAAATAAGGAGACCGGAAGAGTTTTGGCTGTGAATACGACCAGGTCTAACATGTTGCCTAGCAACCGTGTCAGTTGACACACAAAGCAGGAAAAGAATCAATACCGAACTTTTCAAAACTGTTTCTTTTTAACTTTAAAAAAAAAAAAATTATTACAAAGTGAACAAAGACTGATTTATTCCAGAGTGGAATAAAGGTTCCAACCAGCGGGAGCAGGAACAGATAAAATCAAATGTAATTATAATTCAATTCAATTCAGTTTATTTCTATAGCGCCAAATTCACAACACATGTCATCTCAAGGCACTTTCCAGTTCACCAGATTGATTCAAAGTTTTCTATCTAAGGAAAACCAGCTTATTGCATCGACTCATTGACTCTTCAGCAATCCCTCACACTAAGCATGCTTGTAGCGACAGTGGAGAGGAAAAACTCCCTTTTAACAGGAAGAAACCTCCAGCAGAACCAGGCTCAGTGTGAGCGGCCATCTGCTGAGGCCCACTGGGCTTCAAGGAGACAGAAGCAGACATAGAAAAAGAAGCATAGATACAAAAGGCAACTGTCAACCAGCTCCACAGGCGGCCCCGTCCAGGAAACACACAGCCAGGCAGACGAGCTCCGAGCCAGCTCCCATGTCAGAGGATGAAGAGAGCACATCCAGTTAGTCACAGTTAGAGAAACAGGACTACACTGGAAAACAGGCCAAGCTCCAGCATCTAGAAACAAAGGTGTTGATGGCAGCAGCACAGCTGATATTTCTCTCCAGGATGGAGTCACAGCCAAACAGGAAAAGACCAGATGAAGCTACTATGAGAAAAAGCAGAGAGAGCAGAACGTTAGAGATTGAACTAACAGATTCTGCAGAGTGGGAGAATAGAGATAGAATGAAGCAGAATGATGAAAAAGGGGTCCCTATGTCCTCCAGCAGTCTAAGCCTATAGCAGCAGAACTATAGAGATAGATCAGGATAACCTGAGCCACTCTAACTAGAAGCTTTATCAAAAGGAAAGTTTTAAGCCTAGCCTTAAAAGTAGACAGGGTGTCTGCCTCACGGACTAAAACTGGTAGTTGGTTCCACAGGAGAGGAGCCTGATAACTAAAAGATCTGCCTCACATTCTACTTTTAGAAATTCTAGGAACCACTAGTAAACCTGCAGATTGAGAGCGAAGTGCTCTGTTAGGAACATAAGGAACAATCAGATCTCTGATATCAGATGGAGCTTGGCCATTTAAGGCTTTATATGTGAGAAGGAGGATTTTAAATTCTATTCTGGATTTAACAGGAAGCCAATGAAGAGAAGCCAGGATAGGAGAGATATGATCTCTCTTTTTCATTTTCATCAGAACTCTGGCTGCAGCATTTTGGATCAGCTGAAGGCTTTTAACTACAGTCTGTGGACTTCCTGATAGTAAAGAATTACAATAGTCCAGCCTTGAAGTAACAAATGCATGGACTAGTTTCTCAGCATCACCCCTGGACAGGAGATTGCTCATTTTTGCAATATTCCTCAGATGAAAGAAGGAAATTCTAGAAACCTCTTTGATCTGGGATTTAAATGACAGGTCCTGATCAAAAACAACACCAAGATTTTTTACTTTATTATCTGAAATCAGTTTAATCCCATCCAAATGAAGTGGCTGACTAATCAGTTTCTTTTTCAGAGACTCTGGTCCAAAGACTATAACTTCTGTTTTGTCTGCATTCAGAAGCAGAAAGTTAAGAGTCATCCAGGTTTTTCTGTCTTCAGACATGCCTGTAATCTATGTAATGGGTTAGCTTCATCTGGATTATAGACAGATATAGCTGGGTATCATCAGCATAACAGTGGAAATTAATCCCATGCTGTCTAATAACTCTACCGATTGGGAGCATGTATAAAGTAAAGAGAATTGGTCCTAGCACTGATCCCTGTGGTACTCCACAGGTAACCTGTGAGCGTGTTGAAGATCTATCATTAACATGAACAAACTGAAATCGATCAGATAGATCAGATTTAAACCAGTCTAGAGCTGTTCCTTTAATTCCAACAAAATATTCAAGTCTTTCTAAAAGAATATTCTGATCAACTGGATCAAATGCAGCACTGAGATCCAACAGGACGAGCACAGATACAAGTCCATTATCTGAGGCCATGAGAATATCATTAGTGACTTTCACCAGAGCTGTTTCAGTGCTATGATGAGCTCTAAAGCCAGACTGAAACTCTTCAAAAAGTTCATTATGGTGGAAGTGATCGCAAACTTGTTTGGCAACTACTTTCTCAAGAATTTTGGATAAGAAAGGAAGATTGGATATAGGTCTATAATTGACCAAGTCATCTGGGTCAAGAGACGGTTTCTTAAGCGGAGGTTTAATTACAGCAACCTTAAAAGCTTTAGGTACATATCCCTGTAACAGAGATAGATTAATCACATCTAAAATGGAGGAGGAGATCAAAGGGAATACCTCCTTAAATAACCTGGTTGGAACTGGATCTAACATACAAGTTGAAGGCTTAGATGAAGACAATAATTTTGCTAATTCAGAAAGTTCAACTGGATCAAAGCGGTCTAAACCCGGTTCAGATTCCATGACTACCTCAGGTACAATCGCGGATAGAGGAGTGCTTATGATCTTATTTTTAATAAGATCAATCTTATTTATAAAGAATCCCATAAAATCATTGCTGCTAAGAGCAGGTGGAATGGACGGTTCAACAGAGCTATGGCTCTGGGTGAGTTTGGCAACTGTATTAAAAAGAAATCTAGGATTATTCTTATTCTCATCTATTAATGAGGAGAAGTATGCTGCTCTTGCTTTAGAAAGGGTCCTCTTATACAGCAGTAAACTATTTTTCCAGACTAGGAAGGACTCTCGCAGGCCTGTGGAGCGATATTTTCTCTCCAGTTTCCTAGCATTTTGCTTCAAAGTGCGCAGCTCTGCGAACCTTAGTCAGTTAAATAACCTGCTGCTGTCATTCTGCACATCTCTGATGTTGCTGCTATTTTCAAATATTCATTACTGGAAAAATGTCCATATCTGCATATTGGTTATTTATTCTCCAGGTGAACAGTTTGATATTGTTAAAAAACTTTAGAAAATTGTGTTGTTCATATTTTAACTCTTCCCTATAATGTTATTCTTATACATTTTCAAAGGTCCTCATTTGTGTGACCATTTTCAATAATCTTTCTGCTGCCGTAAATTTGCCCATTGTGGGACAATAAAGGGATTTTCTATTCTATTCAATTAAAGGTGTAGAAAGACTAACTGGATGTGCTCTCTTCATCCTCTGACATGGGAGCTGGCTCGGAGCTCGTCTGCCTGGCTGTGTGTTTCCTGGACGGGGCCGCCTGTGGAGCTGGTTGACAGTTGCCTTTTGTATCTATGCTTCTTTTTCTATGTCTGCTTCTGTCTCCTTGAACCCCAGTGGGCCTCAGCAGATGGCCGCTCACACTGAGCCTGGTTCTGCTGGAGGTTTCTTCCTGTTCAAAGGGAGTTTTTCCTCTCCACTGTCGCTACAAGCATGCTTAGTGTGAGGGATTGCTGAAGAGTCAATGAGTCGATGCAATCAGCTGGTTTTCCTTAGATAGAAAACTTTGAATCAATCTGACTGGATGATCTGGTTGAACTGGAAAGTGACCTGAGATGACATGATGTGAATTGGAGCTATAGAAATAAACTGAATAGAATGATATGAGCAAATCTTGGTCTCGCAATGAATCCTGGGATACCCAGGGTTATGGAGGATGCATCGGACCCGTCCTTTAAATTGAGCTAAAATAAGGACGCATTTGTCGGCCGCATAACGAGGAGTCTCTGAATCCAACCAGACCTCGGCGCCGTGCTATGACATCATCGGCCTTTGAATCTGACCTTCTGAGGACGCAGCCCATGAATTCGGACAGAGACTTTATCTCGCTCAGATTGCGTCATAAAAATATGCAGACTCGTGTGTCTTTTAGATAAAAAGATGATGTAAAGAACCTTACAAAACATCGCAGGCTAACAACCGAGGAAATAAGTATTAGAAGTAAATATTAGCCAGATGCTGAGCATTATGACCTGCTAACTTTTCTGATGTCAACAACCGGATGTTTTATTCGATTTTCTCATCATGGAATATATTCATTACTAATATGCTGGATTACTGTTAATCTGTGGACCCTCATGGATGAATAAGGTTTAAACAATTAAAGAAAGGATTATAAAACGGCCGCCTTCAAAGGGCCGTAGCCTTGGCTGCTTTGTTTGTTTACACTTTGACATCCTGCTATGTTCATTTCTAACTGTGCTTTGCTGGCTGTGTCCATAAAATGAACTTGGTGGTTGAATCTCAGCTTTCCAATGATTTCTAACATGTTTAAGGTGGAAAAAATGTCACTGGTGGAATTTTTTGCATCCTGAGTTATAACCCCCCCCCCCCCCTAACATCCACCAGGCTGGGATCAGATAAGCTGAATCACATTACTTTGTTCTGTTTAATCACAGGAGCCGTTAACTCAGTGAGAACCGTCTGTCAATATTATGGATTTTATGGATGGCTGCAGTTCCGGGTTCGATTCTGGGCCTGGGGTCTGTTTGCAGTGTGCATGTTCTCCCTGAGCATGTGTGGGTTCTCTCTGGGTACTCTGGCTTCCTCCCACAGTCCAGAAACATGACAGGGAATTTCTCATGAGGTGAAGGACATGGCGGGTCTTTAGGACAGTGCTCAACTTCTAGCAGATCATCAGTTATGTTGGAATGTTGCCTTTCTGGATCAAAACTCTCCAAGTCTTTGTCTGAGGATTCAGTCTGTTGAGCTGTGTTCTCCTCTGGTGGACCCGACAGCAAGTTGGTTTAGTTCATAACATTGTGAAAAATGTTGAGCT